GGAAATGGACTCAGGAAATAGGATTTTTCAGTACACGGTCTTCATCATCCTTAGGTATTGTTAAACCTTAATAAGCTTTTAAGTAAAGGGAGAAAATGGCATTGAGAAGAAAATGCACGAAACTTCAAAATGCAACCGTTTTAAGTAGTTGCTTATCGTGATCGTGTTCTGTGACAAAGAAGAGAGAAATTCATTTTTGTGGACAGCAGAGTTGAGATCCTTATTAGCTATGAAAGGAAAATCTGCCTCATCCCCAAAAGATGGCAGGTCATTTTATCACGCTAATAATCTCAGCCATTAAAGTTAACTCCGTGGGGGGGCACCTGGGTGGCTCAGTCAGTTGAGCGTCCGACTTCGGCTCAGGTCATGATCTCGCGGTTTGTGAGTTCGAGCCCCACATCGGGCTCTGTGCTGACAGCTCAGAGCCTGGAGCCTGCTTCGGATTCTGTCTCTCCTCCTCTCTCTGCCCCTCCCCTGGTCATGCTCTGTCTCTCTGTCTCTCAATAATAAATAAACGTTAAAAAAAAAAAAAAAATTAACTCCGTGGGCCTAATCAGTTAAGTACCCTGTAAGCATGTATTTGCGTTTGGGTTAAAGTGAAGAATTTAGTACTTGTTATCCCAACGTGTATCCTTGCAAGCTTGACTAAGTACTTATAAAAACAAAAAACAGGGGCACCTGGGTGGCTTGGTCGGTTAAGCATCCGACTCTTGGTTTCAACTCAGGTCATGATCTCATGGTTTCATGAGTTCGGGCCCTGCATCAGGCTCTGCACTGCCAGAATCCCTTCTTGGGATTCTCTCTCCCTGTCTCTGTCCCTCTCCTACTTGTGCGGTCTCTGTCTCTCTCAAAATAAATAAATAAAACTTAAAAAAAAAACTTTTTATAGTGGAAAATATCAAACTTACACAAAATTAGAATTAGTTAATGAGCCACCGTGTACCCATCACAAGCTCCATTAATCAATTCATGACCAGTCTTGTTTCTTCTGTGCCCCACCTACTCTCTGCTTTCAAATTAATTTCATTTCAAATTAATTTAAAGCAAATTCTGGATATAATTTCATCTGTAAATATATCAGTACAGGTCTGAAAAGATAAGGACCCTTTATGAAATCATAAACCCATAACCATCACATCACCAGAAAACTAACAGTTCTTCAATATCATCAAATACATTATTAATGTTCACATTTTTTCCAACTATGTCATAAATGTTTTTACCATTTCCTTGAATCAGAATCCAAGCAAGCGTCTATACATTGCAGATGGTTTATGTGTCTCTAAGTCTCCTTAAATCTTTAGGTCTCCATCCATATCTTTCTTGTGCACATACTTGAGCTCTCTCTCTCTCTCTCTCTCTCTCTCTCTGGGTGTTTAAAAGGAGTTATCCATAATTAGTATAACTTTCCCTGTGTACGTAGTGTATCTTTTTCCCCACTTCTGGTTGCTTTGGGGATTTTCTCTTTATCTTTGGTTTTTAGCAGTTTGACTATGATATGCCTGGATGTAACTTTTGTATTTATCCTGCTTGGTATTTGCTGAGCATCTCGGGTCTTTAAGTTTGCTGTTGTTGTTGCTACCAAATTTGGGAGCCATTTGGTCATTATTCTTTTTCTTTTTTTTTTTTCTTTTTTTTTTTTTTTTTTTTTTTTTTCTTTTGGCTTCATTCTTTCTGTTCTCTCTTTGGATTCCAATTACATATCCATTAGACCATTTAATATTGTTCCACAGGTCACTGAGAATCCATTTGTTTATTTGGTTTTGTTTTTAACTTTTATTGATCTGTCTTCAAATTTATGAACCCTTCCTTCTGTTATCTCTAATCTGTTGTTAAGTCCATCCAGTCCAATCTTTCATATACTGTATTTTTCAGTACTCGAATCTTTTTTTTTATAGTATCCATTTCTCTTCTGAAATTCTCTATCTGTTATATCTCATTATGACCATCATTTCCTTCAAGTGCTTACCCTTAAATTTCTCAATATCCTTTAGGGTTCTTTTTTGCTAATACTAACACCTAGATTATCTCAGAGTCTTTTTCTGTTGACTGCCTTTCCTGTTGATTATGGGTCACATTTTTCTGTTTTGTTTTGTTTTGTTTTCACATATCCAGAACATCTTTATTGAATACTGGACATTACACGTGATACATTGTAGAGACTCTAGATTATGTTACATTCCTCTGAAGAATGTTGATTTTTGTTCCAGCAGGTAAATGACTAGCCAGTCACTTTGAATTTGTGGTGACTTGGTCCTGCATTTGGTTAGGGCAGATCCATTTCAGTTTTGCCTTTAGCCCTCAAGAAAATCCCTTTGTTCTGGAGCATAGTCCTTACTCCTAAGGTGTGGCCGTTCTGGGCTAATAAACAGCCTGAGGTGTTTACAGAGCCTTTGTTGCTAGGATTCAAATTCTGAATTCTGTCTCCAATACAGGGGCCAGTAACTGACATTCCTGCTCTTCTCTTTCAGCCATACAGCTGTTGCTTTCCACTGAGCTCTTTAGAGCTCCCCCTACACATGCGCTGTTCAGGAGCACATGTTAAGGATTTGAGGGAACTTTATGTGCCAGTTTAGTGGCTGCTCCCCCTGAGGCTCTCTCCTTTATGGGTTTGCTTTCTCAATTTTTTGCCATTCGGGCAACTCCACACTCTATTCCCTGACAGATTACACAACTTCCGGTTCATTTTCTACCAGCCCCCTGCTAACGTGAACTGGGGAGGACCCTCAGGGCTACATAAATTTGGATCTCACCTGTGCAGTTCTCTTCCTTCCAGAGTGAAACCCCCTTCAGTGTTCTCCAGTACCTTCAAATAACTTTTATAAATGTTCCGTCATTTCTATATGTAGGAATGTTAGTTGGGTACAAGCCACTCTGTCATCTGTCAGACTGGAATCGCCTTCTCCTTTATTACAGAAAGGTGCTGGCCTACCAAATACTTCGCCTGCCTTCGCATAGAGCCTGGAGACCAGGCCTTAGGAGAATATTGACACACCCCTCATTCTGTTTTATAGCTGTGTAGTCCTTCATTGTTTACAGATAGAGTATAATTTATTAAGCCAGTCTCCTACTGATAGCTGTTCGAGCGAGTAAGCACTTTTAGATGCATGGCAGCAGGCTACGCATTAGTTACGAAATAAACCCTTTGCCTGCAAGCAGGTGATCTTCTAGTGATCGTGAACAATATTTCTTTTGTTCACTGTCTCCTGTAACAGATCTAGAGGCATCCCCATTTTTCTGTTAATCCTTTGTAAAACTTGGACCACCCAGTTTGGGCCACCACCTTAGTCTCTGTCTACTAACCCTATCAGATTCCTGGGTCCCCTTTATACGTTCTTCCTATAGATATTACCATGATGGACAAAGGAGATATCTTTGACTTGCTTGACTTAGAATCATGGGCAAATCTCTGACCACAGCAAGGACCTGAAAGCGTGTGCCTCCTTTTGGTGCAACAGCTCTGGGAACAGAGGCGGCCAGAGAAACCTCACGAAGATGAGTTTGAGGCACTGTAGCAAGTTCCGTTTTTGTAGGCAGATTTTTGTTCCTTCCCTCCCCTAAGCAGGTGCTCCTAAAGCCACACATAGGCTGGTCCATCCTTCAATCCAGCCCACAGGACTACTTCTGTTGCTGAGCTATGTACTCTTCTGACGTTGTCCCTGCTCTCAAGTATCACCAGCTTGGAAGTTCAAGGGGGATGGGGTGGAGGCACTGTTGGGGTGCCCATCCCTCCTTTTCCTTCCTTACCTCTACCTGTCTATGAGCATTCATAGGGTCTGTGCACTCAGAAACAAAATGATCCTGGGGCGCCTGGGTGGCTCAGTTAAGCGTCCAACTTCGGCTCAGGCGATGATCTCGCGGTTTGTCAGTTCGAGCCCCACATCTAGTTCTGTGCTGACAGCTTCGGATTCTGTGTCTCCCTCTCTCTCTGCCCCTCCACTGCTTGCACTCTGTGTCTCTCTCTTTCTCTCAAAAATAGATAATCATTAAAAATTAAAAAAAAAAAAAAGATCCCAAATCTTCTTTCAAGATTGTCATTCTGTAAATCAGACCCACTGTCCATGCTTAGAGCAGGTTTTGATACTTTTCCCCCTGGTTTCTGTATAGCAAAGCGGCAGGAATTGTAATGGGTACCTGCCAGAGTACTTACCAGAGTCTCGGTCTAATTCCCTGTCTGTGTGTCTTTGAGTAAGTTGCTGAACTTCTGTATGCCTCCTTTTTATCACCTGTAAAATAGGAATAATGGTATTAGCATCTCCTACTTAGGAGTGTTATACATTTTAAACTGTATAATCCAGTACCAAGGATATAGTAACTGCTTTAGCAGTAGTATAATAGTGTCATTATCATTAACACCAACAACAATGCCCCGGAGGTAGAGAATACATACATTTAGTGATGAAAATGTAAGCCCGTGAAAGTATCTGGAAAGCAACCCTTAAGGAATCCAAAAGCCACATCCAAGAGTCAAGTAACAAAAAGCTAAAGAACACAAATTTGGCTTCCTTGTGTTTATAAGCTACTAGTAAGTGATTAATGGAAAGCTTGTGGTCATTCTTAGCCTGTCTAGTGTAGGAAAAGAATTTCAAGTATGTGCACTTTGTTTTTTTTTTAATTTTTTTAATGTTTATTTATTATTTTTGAGAGAGAGAGAGAGAAAAACAGAGAGCAGGAGAGGGGCAGAGAGACAGAGAGGGAGATACAGAATCCGAAGCAGGCTCCAGACTCTGAGCTGTCAGCACTGACCCTGATGTGGGGCTCGAACCCACAAACCATGAGATCATGATCTGAGCCAAAGTCGGATGCTTAACTGACTGAGCCACCCAGGTGCCGTTTTCATTGTTTTTTTAAACAGCAAAAAAGACATTTCATATCCAGGGACGAAAGGTGCTGCCCAGCACACACACGGGCTCCAGTGCTCACTACCTTTATAACCACAGCAGGCTCCCTCTCCAGACAACTCACCGGGGTCAGTGACGGTCTCTTCCTCTGCTCCACAGATAATTGTGTCCAGAGGACCCCGAGGCCTCCGGTGGAGAACGTGCACCACAACCCCCCCACCATTGAACTGTTGCATCGGTCTAGATCGCCTGTCACAGCCAATCACCGGCCTTCTCCCGACCCCGAGCAGCGGCCCCTCCGGTCCCCCCTGGACAACATGATCCGCCGCCTCTCCCCGGCCGAGAGGGCCCAGGGGCCGAGGCTCCACCAGGAGAACAACCACCAGGAGTCCTACCCCCTGTCAGTGTCTCCCATGGAGAATAACCACTGCCCGCCGTCCTCCGAGCCCCACCAGAAGCCATCGAGCCCCCGGCAGGAGAGCACACGCGTGATCCAGCTGATGCCCAGTCCCATCATGCACCCCTTGATCCTGAACCCCCGGCACTCCGTGGATTTCAAACAGTCCAGGCTCTCCGAGGACGGGCTGCATAGGGAAGGCAAGCCCATCAACCTGTCCCATCGGGAAGACCTGGCGTACATGAACCACATCATGGTCTCTGTCTCCCCGCCCGAGGAGCACGCCATGCCCATTGGGAGAATAGCAGGTAGGTGAGCGCCACCCCCCTCACGACAACTCCAGCCTCAGGGGAGACCTGACAAGCCCCGCTGTCTCCCCAGCCTTGCAGCTGGCCTCACACGGGTTCCCAATTAGGCGCCCTCGAAGGTTCTGTGAGGGCAAGCGGAGGCTTCTGCCTGAATGAAGTGAAATCCCTAATGGGCTAGTTAATGAGCCGCTGGGATGGAGTAGTTAATGAGCCTCAGAAATGTTAAGAAACAAATGTCCTACGTCCAGCTTACAAGGAGAGTCACATCGGAATCATGGCTAAGCGAAAACATTTAAAATAAAAGGTTTATGAGCATGCTAATGGCCCTGTCTTGAAGTTTCCAGCAGCTAATTAATGACCAGACACAGCATAAAGAACCTTTGTCTCAGATTCAGACCTGTAATTCTGTCCCGTGGGCAGTAACTCAACGTAGCCTTCACCTTGGGAGAAGGTGGGAGAGAAAAACACGATTATGGTATTGGAGGCAGATGTTCCTGGGTCATTTGGACAGAGGAAACCACTCCCGAATTCTTCTCCTTTTATGATGACAAGCCCAAATTTGCTTCCCTCAGACAAGAAACGAGTGGAAACCAGTGGGAAAAAATCTACACATTGTGTTGTGCTCGTCTGCCCGTAATTTACATGAAGTCATCCCCCAGACACTTACTCCTCCAGCCACTTGGCAAGGGCAGCTCTTTTCCTAGAGCATCTCTCCCTTCAGGAGACAGTTGTTGAGCACCTACTATGCACAGATAAATGCATCAGGAAGTAGGGGGACACAGAGCTGATGGAACAGTTGTCTCCTCAAGGAATTTAATATTTACTGGCGGAGACAGATGGGAAAACCACTAACTAAGCTGTAAGGCATGGTGAAATCAGTCGTATGTCCCATTCATTCAGTACACGAGCACTTATCGAGTGCTGTGTGCTAGGATAATTAAGTCCTGTGGAAGCAAAGCAGGGAGAAGGTGCATTTTGACTGCAGGAATTGAGGAAGGGCTTTGCAGAGAGGTCGCTCAGGGCTGAAGGGGAATATGTGTTCAGTAACGGGAGGGAGGCACAGAGGAAGGAGAAGTCAGACCCGGTCAGGGAAAGGCGAGAAATGCCCCCTTCCTCCATGAGCTGTCCCCCAGGCCAGAGCCCCAGCTAAGCCCCAGGATGGAGCCGTGCTCCTAACAGCGTGACCGCACAGGGAGCTACAGGCTACATTAACTCCCTCTGCCGTAACGCATTGTCCCTTTTGTATTTAAATTATTTGTTTCTAAATTTTTCTCTGGCTTCAGGTACACCTCCAGTGTTGCCTCACTTTTACTGTTACAAATCATTTACGTGAGTGTGTTGAATGAAGAAAATGAAATGGCAAAGAAATGTGACTTACGTTTGAAAAACCATGAAAAGTGAAATGATCTGTGTCTGGGATTTGATTCAAAAGGATCCCACGGCACTGGGGGTGAAGCATGGGTGGGGTGTACATAAAATAAGGCTGGCTGTGAGCTAACGGCTGTATGGCTGGGTGACGGATACAACGGGGATTCGTGTTATTTTTTTCTCTACCTTTACATATATGCCTATGTGTGTATGTATGTTTTAATCTAAAAACAAATCGTGAAAGGAAAAACATAGGGGGTTTATAAAGAAGCAAAGCGCTCAAACAAGACACATGAATTTCCCCAGATGGTTGGAGAAAGAGGATGGGGTCAGTACATTACTGTGAAGCATATAAATGACTTGTCTTATGCTTCCCAGGCCAGACCTTTCTTGCCTATACATACCCTTCGTGTCTTATTTCTTGCATGGTCTATACAGCAGTACTGGACATTTTGCAGATACTTTCTACTTGTTTCTCATTCTCCGGGTAGCTCTTAGAAGCTGCTTATTACCGCTATATTCATTTTATATGAAAAGTCATCTGGGCCAGGGAAGCCACGGAGGAAACAGAGCCCCAGAGGAGCAAAGGTCAAATAGGGGTTGGGTAACAGGGGCAACAAGGCACTCACTGCTGTGCCGTTGGCTGCTGCTGGTAGTGCTGCTCTCGAGGAACCTGCCTTCCCCAGCAACATACGTCCTGTCCATCTCCTCTGTCGCGCTGTCTTATCAGAGACTTCTAGGAATTGAAGATAAGCCCATCCATCAAGAAAGTTAAATGATTTAGACTTATGGAGTTATTTCTCCTTATTTAATAGGTTTATAAATTTTAAAGTATTAGTCTCTTAGAAATTGTGCTACGAGGGACACCTGGGTGGCTTAGTCGGTTAAGCGTCCGACTTCAGCTCAGGGTCATGATCTCGCAGTTTGTGGGTTCGAGCCCTGCGTCAGGCTCTGTGCTGACAGCTCTGAGCTTGAAGCTGGCTTCGGATTCTGTGTCTCCCTCTCTCTTTGCCCTTCCCCACTCATGCGCCATCTCTCTCTCTCTCTCTCTCAAAAATAAATAAACACTAAAAAAAAAATAAATAAAAAAAAAAAGAAATTGTGCTACGATTTTTTAAAATCTTATTCCTAAACATCAGAATTGTTTCATGATGGAGTTAGCCCCATCAATAAGACACTCCATGGAATATCATACCAGCCCAGTGATGAAACTTGGCACCCATGGATGCCCTTGTCTCTCTCAAGAACACACAGAATAAGGGAGTCTATGCTTTTCTTTATGATCCTAGGAAGTCAGAATATTCACATAAAGTAACCCTAGGGCCCAGACCCTTTGAGGAATGCTCCTCGGTGTGATAGAATCTATAAAATTATGATTAATTAGCTCTAATGATATGCTCACAAGTTTAAAAGTCTCCAGATGTAAGTATTAACTAATTTAACCAAATCCAGACCAGCTGATTTAACTGCAAGTCACTGTTTTTCTCAAGGGTGAAATGATAGGGTTAGAAAGTCTACAATCGAACACTTTGTCTTGATTCTAACCCTCTGAAGCGAACTCCTCAGGGCTCCATGCCCTTTTGTTTCACTTGGGATAGCCCTGTCTCTTCTCTCCTACCCTTCTAGTGTCTTTTTGGACCACCAGATCGTTGTAAAATTCTATTTCTTAGGGGCCGAACTCATTGAGTTATTCCTGTGTAAAGTGTGGCATTACTGAACAGCCATAAAAAAGCCTTCATATCTGTAGAGCAGATACGAATACTGCGAAAACGTAGTTCCTGAAGCTTTTTGCACAGCACTGCCGAATGCCATCGCCGGAGGGTGTGGATGGAAACACCGCTTATGAATGCGGATCAAAAAGGGAAGCCAGATTTCTGTCCATTCGGATGCCATTTGCTCAAGTACTTTGGGATTTATGTATTTGGGCGCTTGCTGTGTTTGGGCACTGGACTGCGTTCGTGGGGGTGGGGTGTTCCAGGAGGTCTAACACACAATCTTGGAAAATCTTGAAAAGGCTGAATGCAGTTGGCGGTCAGTGTCGTGTGTGGGGTCTGTGAAGGACTCCCGTCAAGTACTATAGGAGTCAGCGTCGGGGTCATGAGGAGTCAGAGTCGGGGTGTTAGGGAAGGTTTCGCGGAGGGGCTGGCTTTCAGCTGGGCTTAGCATGCTTAGAATATGAGCAAGTGAAGGTTAGAAAAAGAGAGGTCATTCCTGATAGAGAAAACTCCAGAGCAAGGTAAGGTCCAGTATATTTTTATCTATTTCAGGTAGAAATATAAATCTAGGACTCCAAGTCCATTAAAAATCTATCATATTTCATAATTCTTTTTTTCCCCTCACTTTCTAATATCACCGAATTGGGATTTTATCATACAGTTTGGAGGTGATCTGCAAAGCTATGATAGTTTACTTAGGTATTGGTCTTGTAGAAGAATTAAAATAATCACTAAAAGAGAGGCGCCTGGGTGGCTCACTCGGTTGGGCGTCCGACTTCAGCTCAGGTCATGATCTCACGTGTTCATTGAGTTCAGAAGCCCTGCGATCAGCTCTGTGTGACAGCTCAGAGCCTGGAGCCTAGCTCGATTCTGTGTGTCCCTTTCCTCTCTGCCCCTCCCCTGCCTCGCTCCCCTCTCTCAAAAATACAACATTAGCTTGGCAGGGGAGCGGCACGTAGCGTCCGGATTACCAGGTCACGATTCACGGTTCAGGAGCTGAGCTCCAAGGTCAGGCTCTGGTTGAGAGTTGATTGAGTTGTTTCCATTCTAGGTTTTCTTCTGCCCTCTCCGCTCATGCTCTGTCTCTGTCTGTCCCATAAATAAATAAAAACGTTGAAAAAAAAATTTATAAAAAAAAAATAAATAACTAAACATTAAAAAAAATTTTTTTAATAAAAAAAATCCATAAAAGAAATGTAGGAGGTGGTAGACAGCTTAAATACAAACCACAAATTAGATCTATTTAAACATAGCATGTAGCTTATTTTTAAAGGTATCACTTATTTTTAAGAGGATAAGAAGGACTGCTGTTGAGGTTAATAAGTGAGAATAGCCAGAGTTTATGGGAAAGGATTTAATATGGAATAGAGTGAGCCAAGACCCCTGGGTTCAAACTTTTTATTGAATAGCCAGTGGTGTATGTAACAGTGAGCAAACTGCTTCTTTCTTTAAAAAAATTTTTTTTGTAACATTTATTCATTTTTGAGAGTGAGGGAGACAGAGTGTGAGCAGGGGAGGGGCAGAGAGAGAAAGGGAAACACAGAATCCGAAGCAGGCTCCAGGCTCTGAGCTGTCAACACAGAGCTCGACGCAGGGCTCGAACTCATGAACCACGAGATCATGACCTGAGCTGAAGCCGGATGCTCAACCAGCTGAGCCACCCAGGTACCCCCAAATTGCTTCTTTCTGGGCTTAGTTTCTATTTGGTATGCTCATGAAGGGATTGCGTGGTGGGGGCGGTAAGACATAGGGGGTTGGGGCAGCATCCGTGAACCTTCTAGCACTTTTCTCAGCCCACGAACGTTTTACTGGTCTGTGCTTTGCCAATGTGTTTCATATCCAAAGAGTATATTGGCAGTGAGCACCATAAGGTGATGAGACGTAGCACCAGTGATGCCGTGAGTCATGTTTTTAGTA